CTTAGATGGTGAGGCCAACGTATGGTGGCAGTGGCTTTCCCGGATCTACCGTAGGCAGCAATAGGTCATTACATGGGCTGATTTTGAAAGAGAATTGCTTACTCGATTTGGCACGTCCGATTACCATAATTATAATGAGGCTCTCGCACGAATCCGACGGACAGGCAATTTCCGTGAATACATCAAGGAGTTTGAACGACTAGCCTGTCGCGTACGAGATTGGTCTGAAGATGCGCTAGTAGGAGCCTTCGTAGCTGGACTGAGATTCGATCTAGCCGCAGAAGTCCGACTGGAGCGGCCGGACACGATGCATAACGCCATGGAGGTGGCCCGCCAACGAGAAGACCATCTAGTCGCTACGTGAAGGGGACGGGCGAATGTGCGATATGCCGACACGCGACGCACGGGGCCGAATCAAGCCACGGCCGGCGCATGGCCGAGCGTCAACAATCGGCTGGCGGGGTCAATAGTGAGGCGGCTGTCTCCCGAGGAAGTTAAACGTCGACGTGAGAAAGGCTTATGTTTCAAGTGTGAGGAGAAGTTTACACCAGGTCATCAGTGTAAGCAAGCCTTTGTGATCGAAGTTGCTAATCCTGATGAGGAAGGATCTGAGGACGAGGAGGAACCACATCAGGATATCGTAGTTGAGGGGCCTGACGAAGAAGTAGAAATCTCAATGAACGCGATGGCCGGGATACGAGGGCCTCGAACGATGCGATTGCCGGCCTGGGTCAAGGATCGGAAGGTGGTGGTGCTAGTAGACAACGGGTCATCACACAACTTCATCAATGCCGACTTGTCCCAGAAGCTGAACTTACCAACCACGAATATCGAACCTTTTGAGGTACGAGTAGCCAATGGTGAGAGGCTGCAATGCACTAAATCCTTCCAGAAGGTGCCAATCAGGTTCAACGGAGTTACGGTGAAGGCTGATCTCTATGCCTTACCTCTGGTTGGGCCGGATGTCGTCCTAGGAGTACAATGGCTCGAAGGGTTAGGAAAGGTGACCACCGACTATCGAACTGGAATTATGGAGTTCAACGCCGGAGGTCAGCAAGTCACACTAAGTGCGGGTAATGAAAAAGGTGCCAAAGAAGTAGGGCTTAAGAGTATTGAGAAGGTTTGGCGGGGTGGAGGCCAAATATTTGCTGTAGTAGTGGAGAAGACTGAGGCGCACATTGATCAAGAGGAGCAACAGCAGGGAGATGTGCACGAGCTTCTCCAGGAATTTGAGGGAGTACTGGGCGAACCTAAGGGACTACTGTTAGAGTAGTATACCCGGCGTTCCAATCAGATTGGACGTATTCTACTTGAAA